AGCTGTCTGTCAGTGAAGGCTTGCAAGTTGGCTTGATGTAGAACATGTTTCAGCAGAGCTTCATGCTCAGAAGGAGCCTTGGTGGCACAGTGGTTACTAGTTGGGCTGCAATCCACAAGGTCAGCAGTTTGAAGCCACCGGCATCTTCTCTAGAGAAAGACTGGGCTTTTCTACTCAAGACTCATGGGGGCACTTCTATCCTGACCTACAGGGTCGCTGTGAGTTGGCCATTGGGAGTTTGGTTGTTTGTGGTCCTGTTCAGATTAAGATAGACTGGGAAGAAAGGCCTGGAGATCTGCTTATGAAAAGCAGTCAATCAAAATCCTTTGGCTCAGAATACCTAGGGCTCAAAATCCTAAGCTGCAACCCATTGTTTTTCCCTCTGTGTATTGGGTCACTATGATTTGCGCCTAATTTGATGACAGTCAACGACAACTAATACAAGGCATGGAAGGTCATTGTAGCGATTTCTTCTCTTGTCAGAGTACTGGGCAGGGCTCCTCTCTGAAGTTATTCAGGGACTCGGGATGTTGGAGGCTTGGCCAGCTTCACCATGTAGTCATCTCTGTCTCAGCCAGTTAGATGGAAAAAGGACGGGGAGGATTGCATGCAGGTAGTTTGGTGGGCCGGATCTGAAAGTGGCATGTAGAACTCGGCGGTACCTGGGTGCAAGGCAGGTGGGGGATGCAATCCAGCTCTCTGCTGGTGAACATGGATTCTGGTGAGCAGCTAGTAGTCCCTGCCACAGTTGGTCTAAAAGCAACTGGTCTTTTAATATGCTCCCATGAATACAATTTCACCACTTGAATTTGGAGAGTCAATCATTGGGTTGAGATGTCCGCCTCAGCTTTAGTCCATAAAAGCATCTTATGATTTTGTTATGGCAATAACGTTAGCTGTAACTCTGGTTCTATTTGGTGGAAAGCTAAGGAAACAACAGATTTGACAAGGTTGAAGGCTGGAGAAAGGGAGGACCCGGAGAGAAGTCACATACCAATTACTTCCCTTCTCCTCCTCCTTCACACGCGAGGCTCTAACGAAGTCTCCCCAGACACCCAATCTCTGCTGTTTGGGGCACCATGGTATGTAAACGTCGTGGGCAATTGATTGATTGATTGTTGTTGTTAGAGGAAGGGAAGTAACCCAATATTGAGTGTGATGTTTTGGTTTTCAGGAAGCCTTGGAATGGGCCATGAAGAACCATTTGTGGGGCCATGCCTTTTTCCTGTCCAGCAAGATGGACCCACGGACCTATAGCTGGGTCATGAGTAGGTGAGTCAAGGCTGATGGAGCAGAGAGCTCTTCCCGGCGAAGGTGAGGACGAGGAGGAAATGAAGTAGCATTCCGGAGCGCCACTTTCTGGGGGTCTGCCAGTTTCTCTTCTCTGGACTCTTAGATACCCCCACCCTACATTTCTTTCTACCTGCTAAGTTGACCCAAACATTTTCTTAATACTTTTCAGAGTTAAAAAAAATTAAGTAAGTCTGTACATTGATGTAGCTGTCTCTCTTTCTGAGTGGCTCGTTCTCTCAGGGAGAGAAGAGGTGATCTCTTTAACAGAATCAACAGAGCCTGAGGATGGCGAGTTTTGGTTGCAATCATCCGATCCTTAGTCTGGCAGTATGAATCTAGATCCCAAGAAAAGGTAGGAATGAGGGGTACTAGGACCCTGGACTGCTTTAGAAGCTTCTAGGACTTGAAATGAAATCGAGGCATCTTCAGCTAGGTCAGTGGGAGACGCTGAGACCGAGTGGTGTGTTGAGTTCTAAATCATGGAGTGGAGATGATAGGGGAAGGTAGACAATGCCCCGCCCCGGAGCAGATCGGGCCTGAGCTGAGGGCTCATAGCCAGGAGCAATGAAACAGCAAAAGAGAGTCAAGCTCACAGATGCAGAGGGCAC